CATTGTAGAAAAAACAATGGAAAGGCTCATAATAGAGAGAGATCTAGTGATGCTAGATAGGGAAGGCAGGCTGACAGCCACACAACACGGCTTCCGCAAAAACAGGTCCTGCCAGACAAACCTTGTGGAATTCTATGACAAGGTTCCGAGATGGCTAGATGGAGGGGATGCAGTGGATGTGGTATACCTGGATTTCAACAAGGCCTTTGACAAAGTGCCCCATGATATCCTGGTGGAGAAACTGAGGAGTTTTGGGATACACCAAAGCACTGTCCGGTAGATTAGGGCATGGCTGACTGACCGAAAGCAGAAGGTAACCATTAGCGGCGAATCATCGGGATGGCAGCCAGTAACAAGCGGGGTCCCCCAGGGCTCTGTCCTGGGGCTGATCCTGTTTAATCTTTTCATTAACAACATGGAAGAAGGGGTGAACAGTCTGCTGATCAAATTCGCAGACGACACTAAAACTGGAGCAGTGGCCACAACTGAGGAGCAGGTACTCCAGATCCAAAAGGATTTGGACAGACTATGGAAGTGGGCAGAAGACAACAGGATGGCGTTCAATGTGGATGAGTGCAAGGTCTTGCACTTGGGGCATAGGAATGGGTGTCATAAGTACAGGTTAGGGGACAAGTGGCTGGAGAGCAGCACTTGTGAAAGGGACCTCGGGGTACTGGTTGACTGCAGGCTAAACATGAGTCAGCAGTGTGATGCGGTGGTCAAGAGGGCGAACGCCACCCTTGGTTGCATAGCCAGAAGTGTGGCTTCTAGATCAAGAGAGGTATTACTACCACTTTACACGACTCTGGTGCGCCCGCAACTGGAGTATTGTGTTCAGTTTTGGGCCCCTCATTACAGGAAGGATATAGCCAGGTTGGAGTCAGTGCAGCGTAGGGCCACAAGGTTGGTGGCCGGTTTGCAGGGGACGCCGTATGAGGCGAGACTGAGGGAACTGGGTCTCTTCAGCCTGGAGGAGACTCAGAGGGGATATGATGGCGACATACAGGTATGTGAAGGGATGTCACACGGAGGTGGGTAGAGACCTGTTCTCCCCTGCAGAGGAAGGCAGGACATGCTCCAGTGGAGCAAAGCTCAGGGAGCCAAGGTTCCATTTGGATGCCAGGAAGCACTTCCTGACAGTCAGGACCCCGAGGGTGTGGAATGGGCTTCCACAAGAGGTCGTTGAGGCCCCATCGGTGCGGGTGTTCAAGGACAGGCTGGACGTCCACATGCTGGGCATGTCGTGAGTGGAGCCGGCTGGTGCTGGAGGTCAGACTAGATGGCCCAGGAGACCCCTTCTGACTCGCTCTGTTTCTATGTTTCTATTTCATAGCATCCATAAAAAGGGCTGGAAAAGACGACTGTCTAAAATGTTGGAAAGCTAGTGCCAGTCAGTATAGAATTTGTACTCCTGTCCTTTTGTGCGGCTTTGCTGTCCCCTTTCTCTGCTGAATCTGCTGTGGTTGCAAAAGTATCAATGGCTTGCATGCAAAATTCAGCTTCATGGCACTGGCAAAAAGAGTTTCCTTTAGTTTTAAAACAGGGATAAATAGGCCTTTTTTGCCACTGCATTTCAGTGGCAAATCACTGACTTTTTAAATTATTATTGCTGTAAATTGGCAGCAAATTGGCAGCAAGATGGCAGAGGTCAGACAACCTATATTGTCAGAAGCTATCCACCCCAATATAGATTATCAAGGTCATTTCTCTTGAAGTTAAGCATAATAATTGTTTTTTAATCAACAGGATTTTATTATGCTAAACTGTAAGCACACAGAGCTGGCTTTAGGCTATAGATTGTTTTACCAAGACAAACAAACAAAGAACCTGCATTAGCTTTCTATAGAATCAGTTCATTAATGCAATATGACTGAAAGTTGATTTCAGTCTAATCATAATTAACTAATGGCTTTCCCTTCCCAAAAGCCAAAGTGTCAGGGTGATCTCTCTGAAACTTCTCAGAGCTAAACTCTTAGAAAGTCTCACTCTTTGTCATTGATCTTCCTGCCTTAAATGATGTCTCACTCTTGGATCTGTCACACCCATTTTCCCCTCTTGCTCCTCTTCAGAAAGGCTCTGCTTTCCCATGGTTTCAGTCTCTCCTTCCTCTTTGCTTATCTTTATTCCTTCTCTCCTAGGTCCACATTCTCAACATTCCCCAAAAACATAGCTGAAACCCATAAAATGGCACATAAAGGTCTTAGTTCGATGTGACACTGCATCATATTATCCCAAAGCTTTTCAAGCTCTTTATCAGAGGAAATCATCTACTGGGCTCACATGAAACTGCAGTGAAACTTACACCATAAAAGATTGCATGTTTCCTCAACATAGGAAGTTGGGGGGCCTTTCAGAGCTGTTTTTCATGGGAATGCAGAATGGGAGCAGCAGTACCTTCCTACACAGGCAGAAGGCAGTGAGATCTAAAATAAGCATAGCTTGCATCCAGGTGTCTTTCCTTTCAAATTTTAGTGCTGAACAAATTGTTGTTGTTGTTAGTCGCGAAGTCGTGTCCGACCCATCGCGACCCCATGGACAACATTCCTCCAGGCCTTCCTGTCCTCCACCATCCCCCAGAGTCCACTCAAGCTCACACCAACTGCTTCAGTGACTCCATCTAGCCACCTCATCCCCTGCTGTCCCCTTCTTCTTTTGCCATCTATTGTTCCCAGCATTAGGCTCTTCTCCAGGGAGTCCTTCCTTCTCATTAGGTGGGCAAAGTATTTGAGTTTCATCTTCAGTATCTGGCCTTCTAAAGAGCAGTCAGGGTTGATCTCCTCTAGGACTGACCGGTTTGATTGCCTTGCGGTCCAAGAGACTCACAGGAGTCTCCTCCAGCACCACAATTCAAAGGCCTCGATCCTTTGGCACTCAGCCTTCCTTATGGTCCAGCTTTCACAGCCATACATTGCAACTGGGAAAACCATAGCCTTGACTAGACGCACTTTTGTTGGCAGGGTGATGTCTCTGCTTTTTAGTATGCTGCCTAGATTTGCCATAGCTTTCTTCCCCAGGAGCAAGCGTCTTTTAATTTCTTGGCTGCAGTCCCCGTCTGCGGTGATCTTGGAGCCCAGGAAAATAAAATCTGTCACTACCTCCATTTCTTCCCCATCTATTTGTCTGGAAGTGAGCGGACCGAATGCCATGAACTTAGTTTTCTTAATGTTGAGTTTCAAGCCAACTTCTGCGCTCTCCTCCTTCACCCACATCAAGAGGCTCTTTAGTTCCTCTTCACTTTCTGCCATGAGAGTGGTATCATCTGCATATCTGAGGTTGTTGATATTTCTCCCAGCAATCTAAATTCCAACTGGTGATTCAGCTATCCCCGCCTTTCTCATGATGTGCTCTGCATGTAAGTTAAGTAGGCAGGGCAACAGTATACAGCCTTGCCAAACTCCTTTCTCAATTTTGAATCAATCAGTGGTTCTATGCCCAGTTCTAACTGTTGCTTCTTGACCCACATATAGGTTTCTAAAGAGACAAATAGGATGGCCAGGTACTCCCATCTCTTTAAGAACTTGCCACAATTTGTTGTAATCCACACAATCAAAGGCTTTAGCATAGTCAACGAAGCAGAAGTAGATGTTTTTCTGGAACTCCCTATCTTTCTCCATGAGCCAGCGTATGTTGGCAATGTGATCTCTAGTTCCTCTCCCTCTTCGAAATTCTGCCTGTACTTCTGGTAGTTCTCGGTCCACATACTGCTGGAGCTTAAACTTGTAGGATTTTGAGCATCACTTTGCTAGCATGTGAAATGAGTGGAATGGTGCGGTAGTTTGAACATTCTTTGGCATTGCCCTTCTTTGGGATCGGAATGTAAACTGACCTTTTTTAATCCTGTGGCCACCGTTGAGTTTTCCAGATTTGCTGGGATATTGAGTGTAGCACTTTTACTGCATCATCTTTTAAGATTTTTAATAGCTCAGCTGGAATACTGTCGCCTCCACTAGCTTTGTTGTTGCTCAGACTTCCTAAGGCCCATTTGACTTCACATTCCAGGATACCTGGCTCGAGGTCAGTAACCACCCCATTGCGGTTATCAGGGACGTTAAGCTCTTTCTTGTATAGTTCTTCTGTGTAATCTTGCCACCTCTGTTAGAGGCATCTCTTCTGCCTCTGTTAAGTCCCTGCCATTTTGGTCCTTTATCATGCCCATCTTTGCATGAAATGTTCCTTTCATGTCTCCAATTTTCTTGAAGAGATTTCTGGTCCTCCTGATTCTATTGTTTTCTTCTATTTCTTTGCACTGTTTATTTAAGAAGGCATTCTTATCTCTTCTATCTATTCTCTGGAATTCTGCATTCAATTGGGTGTATCTTTCTCTTTCCCCCTTGCCTTTCGCTTCCCTTCTTTCCTCAGCTATTTGTAAAGCTTCCTCAGACAGTCATTTTGCTTTCTTGCATTTCTTTTTCTTAGGGATGGTTTTAGTTGCTACCTCTTGTACAATGTTGCGAACCTCTGTCCACAGTTCTTCAGGCACTCTGTCTATCAGATCTAATTCCTTAAATCTATTTGTCACCTCTACTGTATATTCATCAGGGATATGATTTATGTCATACCTGAGTGGCCTAGTGCTTTTCCCTACTTTCTTCAATTTAAGTCAAAATTTTGCAACAATATTTAATATATGCTGAATAGCATATATTAAATATTCAAGTGTAATATTTAATATTTAATGTACTTAAAGCAAGAAGATACAATATTTACAAATTCGGACAGAAAGTCAATGCTGTGTTAATCCCAAAAACCTTACCTCATGAAGAAATTTCTGAACTCAAAGAGGTTTGTGAAACTCATTATTGTTTTCTAAAATTAACCTATTTTGAATCTTAAATTTGAAAACATCATTTCATAAAACTTAAGGAAAAAATCCTGGACTTAATCCTTTCTCCCCCCACCCCTTCCCCTGAAAAATGAAGACATCCAATAATAAATGCAAGGAAATAAAGGGAAGCTCATTGGTTTGATGAATGGTGTGCGTAAGAAAATCAATTCTATACCTTCACAAGATTCAAAATGATGATTGGAGAACCAAACCTCTGGAGCATCTGATCAAAGTGAAGAGCAGCTACGTGTGCAAATGGGTCTGCTTGATCCACTAAAAAACAAACAAAATAAATTAACTGAATGGTGCCTACACGACCTTGCTGTTAGGATCCACAGCACTATACACTCCAAACTTTTAGCAATGTTGTAATAAAACTGCAATGCAGTGAAGAAAATCGATTTGGTTTTATTTATTTGGAATGCTTTGCCTTTCATTCCTTTTTCTTTTTTACAAATAATGCTTCCTGACCTGTGACTGTAATTAGCAAATAACTTGCACAAGAGGGCATCACTGTGGTCATACAATCCTTGCAATTTCCTTGCTAGATTGCCAGTTCTGGGATACTGGAAGAATGCAGCATAAAGTGGTGATTTTGGTTCAGGTCTGGCTTTGTTACAGAATAGTGCACCCAAGGAGTCCAAAGAGAAGAACTCAAGATTAGATGATCAAACTATACATAAAGAGTAACAGTGCTGCCACCCTACTATGAATTGTACTCCACTGCTGGAAAGTTTGTTTGATCCAGCCCAGGCTTCTATCAGGGAGCAGAAATGGGGCAATTTTCAATTATTACGACTCCATGTTGTTTCCAAGGATCCACCAACAATACAAATTAAACTTGGTAGAATATGTATGTGAGGGAGAGTACAAAAGAGAATAGAAATTGCAAAAAATGACTGCTCTCCTCCTTCTGTTGACATGATGTTTGAATCAAAGTGTACTTCTCCAGCAGGGTGACACCAACTGGATGGAATCTATTGCCTCTTCATGCTTTCTTTCTAATGAGTTTTCAACAAACCAAACCTTGGTTGTCATAAGAACAGTTTGCACCTTCCTGCTTCCTTTTCATACTATTGATGCAGGAGGCAATGTGGGAACAGGAGATGCACATTATAGTATATAGTACCATAACATGCTTCATTTCATCGTGTTTTATCAGATGTCATAATAAAAAAACAAATGTGGAAAAACAGAAATTCCATGCCATATAGGGTCCATTCTAGTTCGTAAACTGGATAAAAGTCCAGTACAAACTCATGAAGGAACAAAGCAGCAGCAGCAATTCACGAATGCAAGAATTTGAGAATACTAAAGGCAGGCAAGTGTGTTTTAAAAGTTAATACAATTCATTATTAAATGCATGTTTTGGAATGTTAAATTTTCTGGGTTCCTAATAATTAGTCAATAGTAAAAGTTGTTTACAAGAGCTTAGCAGGGCTGTCCAGGACAGGACAGGACAGGACATTTTCAAGGGCACTCATTTATAGGGTTGCCATGATTTGGAGGCTACTTGACAACATGTAACAACAGAAACAAAAACCTTCTTAAGTATTAAGTTTTAAATTCACATTTGGCAAAGTATAATTTAATTGCACATCTTACTCAACTCCTTTTCCAATCACATTACTCACTCATAGTGACTTTCATCAAAAAACAAGAAGTATGCCACTGAGCATGATGAACTCAACAAATAAAAATAATTGTTGACTAAAGCCACATTTAGGCGAGCAAATGTATCTACTCTGAACATAAATAGCTTTCTTGCTGTCACGTATTTTTTAAGAGGAGGAAAAAAATAAGAAAATGAAGCCTAAGAAGTTTGCAGACTTCTTTGCACTACCAAAAACATTGCTTCACTTGAGTGGAAGACAATAGCAGCAGATCAAATGACAATATATGCCACACCACCCTGTTCGTTCTCTGAATCTATTAATAAAATACTGTATCATGAGTATGTGGAATCTTGCAAATTACTGATGATCAGTACAAATCCATTATTATTTTTGCAGGACAAGTTGTTTCATTATTTAATTATTAACCTATACTCAAAATCAGGCAGAGATGACATTTTTAGGAGGAATGGTCACAACTCTCCTCATAGCAAAAGGTCCATATTAATTCTGCTCCTGAAGAGATACCTGAGAGCTGGTGTAGTATGGTGGTTAGAATGCTGGACTGGGAACCTGGGAGATCTGGGTTCTAGTCACTACTTGGCCATGAAGCTCACTGGGTGACTTTCAGTCAGTTACAGGCTCTCAAACCAATCTGCTCCACAGGGTTGTTGTGAGGATAAAATGGAGCTATGTAAGCCACCTTGGGTTCCTTACAAGAGTAAAAAAGGTGGGATGTAAATGCAATGCAATTATACCTGCTCAACATAATAGAGGGGAGAGGCCAACTTGCTACAAAGGGGCCAATTTGCCTGTCCTTCAAAAAGAAAAGCGATATACACTCTGTTTTACAGGTGAGGAGGCCACACATGGGGGAGAAAAAGATTCTTGTATGTCTTGAAACTCCAGATCTAAAGGAAAACATGGTCAAGGATGGTGGTGGATATATCTCATGACAAGATTTCACAGCTGTCCCACAAGTGCAATTGTAGATTGCATAACCAAGGTAAATTAAGTATCAACAGTGGCACAAGTTACATTTTGCCAACAACTTTCTTTGTGCATGGATACAAGATCATTCCATACCTTAAGCTGCAACTTCACAGAGATGACCTCTTACTCCCTGCAGTCAATGGGTTAATGCAATCTAGTTAATGTGATTGATTCATTTGGACAATCCCTAAGATAGCACATTTAATACTCTATACATACATGTAATTGGTGGCTTAGGCATCATAGTTGAAATATCCTGAGACCAATACAGAGGGACAGATCCCCGCACTTGGACATAAGATGAATAGCTTCCAGCAGAAAATGACATCACAGAAGCATCATACAAAATCTGCTCCGTTTCTACTTCATTAGCCACATCTCCCTATATAAAATAAAAAAAAAAGGAATTACAATGTACTATATTGCTGCAGCTTTTCAGCTGTATCCACCAAAGTGTGAATTATGTCACCCATTCATCAGTGAAATTTTAGTTATGGACAGGCTAAACAAAACATTTGTTGTGTATTAGAGGTCATACTGTCTTCTCTCAATCCAAGTTTAATGTTGGTAACAAATTTGTTTAAAATAAAGTCCATTAATTTTAGGTTTCCTTTCTTCTATATAAGCTTTTCTAAGCTTCTCTGTTAAATTCAAAATTGCTTCAAACAAGAAATTGATCCATTTTTGCAACATAAACCTCTGCTCAGCATACCGTTTTTGCAACTACCCAGAAAGGCTGCCTCATAAGCATTTATATAGAACTCCAGCTGTATTTACCATCATGGGACATGGCCCCTGTAAAGTAGCTTATACCGATTATAGCTAATCTACATATGAAGGAATACAAATGATTGTTGTTGGAATGAGGCAGATAGTTATGAAATTAACACAGCATTATTTCCTTTTTTATACACAGAAAAGATATCATCCCAGAACTGGTGCTCTCCAAAAATAAGTACTTTCATATATATGCAAGCCTAAGGAATTTATGGAAATTTGCTTAATATTATCCTACTGGGGAAGGCTCATAGGTAATGAACCCAGACCCTGGACATACCACCTGGCACTTCACCCAGGGAAGTTTTACCTGCCCTGTGCTTTCTCCTAATTGGATGTAGACACCAAGCAGGTGAGCCAGTGGCATGGTTTGAGAAGGGGCCTGTAGAGAGAGTGAAAGCCTGAGCAGGTAGATGGGGAACTGAGCAGGTTGAGAAATGCTAAATCATTCATGGCTTGTAATCCTGACAGCTCTTGATGCTCACAGGCAATTAAGTGGATGGATTTCCACATGAAAATACGAGTCCACATTACATTAAATTTCAACACAGTTCATCAGTCTACTTTATCAGAGAACTCCCAAGCCCCAGATTCATAAACTAACATTTTCTATGAGAACTTGCACATTGTAATAATAGAATCATAGCATGGCCAATGTGGTATGGCAGTTGAGTGTTGAACTCAGAAAAGGGGACATCCAGGTTCTAGTCCCCACTCAGTCATGAAGCTCTCTGGCCAGTCACAGACACCCAGCCAAACCTACTAGGGTTGTTGTGAGGATAAAATGGGTCTAAGTCAGTCACCCAGGTGAGAAAGAGAAAAAAGCAGGATGTGCAATTATTATGTATATTATGCAGGATGCGCTGTAGTAGTATCAATAATAATGGCTGTAGTCATACACTAAAACTTGAAAAATACATATATTGTAAATGCATCTAAGATAATATTCCCTAATTCACAAGACTGCTCAGTATTTAGACTTCTTCAGCATATTAAATACAGAAAATTATTTTAAACTTTATTACCTCAACTGTTAACATCTTATACATATCTTTCAAAAACCCCAAGATTTCCCTGTTTTACATTTGCTGCAATGACAAAACAGAGCAAAGTACACTTATCACAAAGTCAAAGGACTTGAGGATTTGTTCATCAACCCCTCCCCCCAAAAAACAGCTTCATGAAGCTGTAAGACATAATGAAAACATTGATAATCATCTATTTTACCTCACAATTTGCTCCTCTCTTTAGAAATCGTGTTCCAGCAAAATTACTTGATCTTCTAGCTATCAGAGTGACATACACAGGACGACCATAGATGAGCAGTTCTTAGAAAGCAAGTTAAGGATTAAAGATGCATATATCTTTTGTACCTCATTTCACTTTAACCTTTTCTTAGTCCTATTCATATACCAAGTGTTTTGTTTTCATATCAAGAAGACATGTGTTCTCACAATCCATCAATGCTATTTAATCTTTCAAATTCTCTTAACAAAAGCAAGAAGGCAGTTCTATTAATAAATAAAATGCACTTAATTGTTCATCCTCTTTAAATTTTCTATAACTACCATCATCATAATTGATTTTCAGAAAAGGAAACTGAAGAAAATATTTTTTTCTAAAGCCAGATAAGAAGGCCATGACAGATAATTCCAGCCTTCCATTATTCTGTCATTCTTAGGATCACACTTTCAACATTACTTCTGTAGGAAAGCAATTAGCATAGTAAACCTGAAAGCAGATGCTGAATTAGTCCTATACACTCAAGAAACAACACTCATCTCAGTATTTCTTCTTGAAACTTCATCAGACAGTTTGCATATACCAAAATGAAATTGCTGACAGTTTCGAACCAGTATAGAAAAGATGGACAGCAGAACAAACAATATGATACTAGTGCAAACACTGCATAGAGCACAGATCCACACATGTGAAATGTGGGGGACTGAAAAGTTTCCATGGTCCAAGTGATGAACAGAAACTAACTCTTATTACCCACATTTTGAGCCACCCAACAAAAGAAATGTATGTAACATAGATTCAACAGCCTTCCCGCTTGCAGTTGCCCTGTCATTGTGAGGATATAAGCAGCGTCGGCCATTGGGCAGACTCATGAAAGTGATTCAAGCATGTGAAATTCAGGTAAGAAATTGCACAAACTTATGAATAGAATTATGTAAGATATGGCACATGGTACACAGTGTAAGACAGGGATGTCAGACTAAATTGGGAAGACATACACATTGAAATTATTTGCATATTCATAGACAGTAAAAATTCATGATCCCCATGGGGTAGTTTTGAGTTCATTTACAGTTCTGATAAAATATTTGCTACTGTCCCAATAAAAAGTAACTTTTCTCAGTAGTGAAGCCAGAAAATCATCTGGTTCATATGACAAGAGACTATTTCTTCTAAGGCTAAATGAGCTTCCAAAAACTACATATTAAGGAAAGACCTTTCTTTGTTCTACACTGAACTAAAAAAAGATGCTAACAACCAAATCCTAAGGATATATGTATTTAAAAATCCCACTTATGTTAATGCACAAAGAATCACAGAATAAGGTTTAAGAACTACAAATGACACACATTAATAATCCTGTTGTTGTTTACATGTAGAACCTAGGTTTGGTAGATTATGTCCTCTGCTCGTGTGTATAAACTGTCTTAAATTCAGAAATCTTGGCAATGCTGAAGCTTCCATGTGCATCTGCAAATGGTAGCTACAATGGATCAAAAGAATATTTTATATAGAACACAGAGTGTTGTGTTCACTACTAGATTTCTGTTCATAGAAGAGCAGACCATGAACAATGGGGATAGGGAGCAATCTTCACAAATTCATTCTTTCTCCTGCAAACCCAGATGCCAACTTCCGCACTGCTCCAAGGGGCTTCAAATCTCTGGCACCACTTTTGGTGGTACAGGGCACTAGATAGGAATAAGGAGTTTGTGAAAATCATGACTTTTTCTTTCTATTCACCAGAGCCAATACTGGATCAACATGGTTTCCATGAACAACAGAGTAAAACTGAATATAATATGGTAATCTAAAGCAATAAATAAGGCCTTTAAATGCATTTGTTTCACTGATATTCTGTAATATATTTTATTATAATTCTGCTCTGCCACACTTCTGAACTATCTGCTCAATTATCCTATTGAGATCTGATTTCACAGTGAATCTATGTATAAACATGGTCACTGTAGTTGGTAAATTAAGTCTTTATCTGATCCTTAGATCTCACTGGCAACATTACCCCAACCATGATTTCTCGTAATGTGCATGCTTGGAGTAAGAATTTTCCTTCATTGTGTCTCATCATCTATGCAATAGATGAAGACTGACAATTCATGCCCCCGTTTCCCAGTTCTCACATCCAGGAGGTTCTTTTAAAAACAGCTGGCTAATTTCTGAATGGTTTTAATCATCACGTATATAGAAGCTGAGCTATGATACTGTACGTAATACCATGGTATGCTATAATTCACCTTTATTTCTAGAACTGCAGTTTGCTCTTACTGTAATAAACATTAATCACTAATGGTAGAAGGATACTTGACTGCCCACAAAATCCATGAATAATATACAAGAGCCAGTCTCGATGAACTGTGGTTTTGACTACATCTAGCAGTTTGCTGTTCCAAACATATTTTCTGTAAGGTTCACTGCAAATTCCAAATACACCTGAAAAATTATTACAAATTAAACCAATAAGAATGTGTGACTAATATGATTTGCATAGCCTTTAAGCAGACAGATGATTCCCAAGACAACCACTCATATATGTATTTAGCACAGGATTCTATTGCTCTATCAACCTACAATATAAGGCATGACTCAAGAATGGCTTTTCCTATTCCTTGGTTTTGGGAGTCCTCAGGATACTGTGACAGAAACAGCTCCCAAGATGCTGAACTATCAGCATATGAGAGAGGCAGGATGACCCAATAGCAGAAGAATTTGGTTGATTATTGAAAACAGATTGATAGACTAAATGTACCTTTGATTCAATCAAGCAGGACTCTTTATTTATTAACAGTGTAATAATAACAACGTTTATTGGTGAAATGGGGAGGGGAGCTCTATCTGCTCTCCAGGACTCAGATCTTTGGTACAAAGAGGAATTTAGGAAATATTGTCCCTCCATACATTGGGTGAAATCCAACTAGTGTCCTCTGTTCAGGGAAATGCTTTTGTCAACAGAATGAGGAGAGCCCATGCTCCCTCAAATCTGTTCTGCAGGATCCACCAATCCTTGGAAGCAGACTTTAGAGGGTGTAGAGGAAAAGGCAATCCTCCATTTCACAGTACCACTGATGGAAGCCATACTAAGAGGTTTTTTATGCAGTTACTTCCCCCAATGATGGGAATTTTACAAACTGCTTAAGTGACTGGGACCATCTAATTACTATTCATCGTTCTATAGTATTCCTGAATAAAGGATAAAGGTGCTTTTCCCTCAACACCACCATATTGAGATGGGAGCTGTGACAGACAGCAAATTATGTACATGTTTACATCAATAACTTGAGCAGAGGGATAACTGAGATTAAAAAATGAGCTAACTTAATTTTAATCATTTTGTCTAGTTGATAAAAAATGGAGGGTTTTGCCTGAAAATGTGAGTACACCCAAACACTGCAAGTCAATGATATAAACAGCACTATATTTTTTCCATCAATCTTTGGCACTGTCAAGCCAAAGAGCAGTATCTATTGGCATGATTTATTCCCTACAAAACATAGATTCATGTTTCATGTATAAATTCTAGTCTATTGAACCTAAAACTATGTTGAATAATAACTTGTAAAAATGACAACATGCCCAATCATTTCTTGACTTACAATTTAAGTTATCAAAAGAAGCAATTAAACACTTTTTGAAATCATCTTGGTAAAAAAAAATCACCTAGTGCAGTTGATGCATTTGACTTAAATCTTCTCTTTAATATTTAATCTTCTATTAAATACATAATATTCTACTAAATTTGGAGCTGTTACAACACTTTGTTGATCAATGAGAAGAGTTAGATGTTTCTGTAGTTCAAATTATTCCAAATATTACTCATTTCCATTTGAATCATACGTACCACTTCCACCCTGAGTGTCAAGTCCCTCATCTTCAAAAATATCAAAACTCTCCTGCCGTGTTCGTGTTGTTTCTGATTTAAGTATGTCAAGAGGCATTCTTAGAACAGTAAGATTATACTGCAGGGAATGGGAAAGATCATAGCTGTAGCTGAAATGTGGATGAAAAGATAATAAAATCAGAGTGCTTACAGGAACAATTCACTGGTCAGTTTCTTCAGTGTAAAACAAGCTGATTTGGGTACTAAGATTCAACAAATCTTTGGCCCTCATTAAGTCTAAATTGCTCTGGAAGCACAATTCTAACTAATCCAGTGCAGTAGAAGAGAATCATTGTGGTGTCATGGACAGAACTTAAACTCTTGATCAAGTGTGGCACAACCTGCCCGTGTCATTCACTAACCACACGACTCCCTGGGTTACAACAGTAAACCCATATATAAACTGTACTATTATGTACTTTGAGGTCCTTGGAGGAAGGACTACTAATTCTGAGGGCCTACTAGTTTTGAAGGCCATTTGCTACCCTTCAGTATCAGAAGGAATATGCATATGTACACTCTCCCATGGGTGGGAGAGTGCTATTGCATTCATGTCCAGCTGGTGGGTTTCCTAACGTTGGCTACTGTGTGAACAGAATGTTGGATTAGATGGACCTTTGGTATGAAAATGGCTCTTCTTATGTTCTTAAGACACAGATGAAATAAATACTTCACCATTCCTAATAAGCATAAGTGTGGGCATTCTCAGCAGCAGTGCTAAAACTTGGAGTCATAAAGGACATTTCCTTGTTTTTGCTACCTGTGTAGGTGAAAACTGGCTAAGGCTTTCAAGTGAGCTGTACTTTGGTAGAATTCAGGTTAGCTTATAACAAGTACACCCCTGTGCCATCACTCCCTGCATTCATATTTTCTCCCTACTCCACATTTATACAGTAGCAGCTGCAGCCCCTCAGGAGGTTTCTTTGCAAGGTCTCCATTACTCCCTGATGACTGCGAAATGGCACTGTCTCAGATGCTAAGGGACCTGGAACATGTTGTTTCCCAGACCACATGGAACAGACACATCAAGAATGCTGAAAACTAAATGGCATTGGTATAGTGTTATTTCAAAGTTCTTGGCACCAGCTAGAGGCCTCAACAGGTACATTTTAGGTAAAAAGATAGGTCCTGACCTATCAGCGTTCATGTGTGAAGGATGAGAAAAATATAGTTCTGTCATACTCCCAATGAAGTGATAGGAATCCAGTGGAGTCTGAATTTAACAAAATGGGCTTAGAAATGTTACAAATAATTCCCCTTTTGTTTGTACGAGGGTGTGGGGAGAAATTATCTATGCCCACTGGCACAATTTATCATGAGCTACATGTGGTCAGTTGTGGCTAGTGGTTCTTGCATCTTCTACAGTCATCACTGAAAGTGCTGAACAATCAAGGATCCTACTGAGCAACCAGACAGAATGAAAGAGACAGAAAGGGTTTAAAAATTCACAGACAAACAGAATAATCCTAGGTCCTGGGCACTGGATAGCAACAAACACATTAAGTCACTTTTTAATTGACAAGAAACTCCTTGTGAATGTTTTTAAACAGACACTACTCTGACAATTTCCTCCTTCCATAGGATTCTGGGAGGGATCCTACAGAGGGAATGTTGTCTTTTTCATCTTTCACTGATGAATAACCATATGGAACAGTTCAGTGACCACTTGACATTAAAAACTTACCTGAAATAAAAATTACTAGACAAGTCTACATTCTGAAAAATTCGAAGATACCTAAAGGGAAAAAAAGATACAGCGTAGTGAAATAGTATTCTTCTCAACAACAAAATGTTACTTTGTTATCCCTAATCAACTGTTCCTGACACCAACAATGAAATATACTGCTGCTACACTAATTAACTCTTTTATCTGACCATTCTTTAATCAGTTCTTAATATGTCAGAATACTTATAAATATTGGATTGCATACTTTAAAATGATCTCCTTTCCTATAAGAATGAACTGCCAGATGAAAACAAAATAGCCACACATTCTCTAGTGATTCTCATCAAGGAAGAGAAGCAGATACCAGGACTTGCACTAATAAGAGAACACCAGCACAACGTACAAGTCAATGTATCTTACTTCATTTATTTATGAAAATAAATAATTCATCATGTTGATGAGTACAGAATTCCTGTTTGTGTAAAATACAAGCACTAAAGTGCCAGCTAAAGTACCTTTTCTAACAATCCTCTGCTCTACTCTGCTCTACAATTGTCTCCTAAAATCCTGCAGGATGGACTTCAGTATATTTGAGGACCACTCCATTCTCCACGCAATTGTCAATGGAACAAAAGTGTTGTCTGTTACACAAACTGACCCCCTGGTGTGTAGCCAGATCTAATACAACTTTCGTGCAAACTAGGACTAGGAGCTTCATGATTAATAAATATATGGTCTCCAGCTAGCCAATGTATTACATTACATTACTACAAAGCTCAAGGAGAGCTGTAACATTCCCATAATAGTATTACTACGTTTAAGCAGCATGTGTCAGCATATACTATCAACCTACAAAGCAGAAAAATGCATATATGATGAATATGCATAGGTGTTCAAGGCCCACTCCCCAGTCTAGAAAGGGAAATTCATATGTGCAGAGGAAATAGGCAAGTGGATGCTATAAGAAATAATCCTGCATCCAGTTTTTATTTATTATATTTTTATTCCACCATTCTTTAATCTTGCAAGGAACCCCAGGTGGCTCACATAATCTCCATTTTATACACACTACAACTGTATAAGGTAGATAAGGTTAAAATGTGAGGACCTGGATAGATTAAAGCTGCTCAGTAAACTTTATGATTGAGTGGTGAGTAAAACCTGGAACTCCCATGTTCCTGTCCAACAGCATAACCACTGCCCCACATAGGCTCTTTTATGACTTGATATGCAGCGTATATAATTAATATATAATTGTGTATATGTGTATATAATTAATCTCAATATATAAAAATGTGTGCATATAATTAATCTCAATATTGGTTATATGCCAAGTGCCATAAAAGCATAAGGCTATAAGGTACATCTGGTAAGCTTGAGTTCAGGGGAATGATCTAATGACCGGGTTAGCCAGTATGGATGATATAAGGAATGAATGATGACTGTTGGAATTCTTGCAGAGGAAAGTCCAGACATAGGCTAAAGAGATTTCCCTTAAAGAGATTAGGCAAAATGGCCCTGCAAGGAAAAAAATACCATTGTCCTTAGCAGACCCAAGAAATGACAGAAAGAACACCGGACATCAGGAAATAACCCCATACAGCAAACACAAAGGTAACCATTTTACCAGCAGAAAACAGACAAGGTCACAAGGCAGAGAGCAGATAGCTAAGGTTATCAAGAACACAAAATTAGCATTAGTTTAAAAAACAATAGAAACCTTCCCATTCCCACAGAAGCAAGTATAGGGGAAAAGGTTTAGGAACCAAGGACACCGAAAATGAAAGCGAGCAAGTTCTGAACATGGAAATGGCAGCCAGCCTGGAACATGGATTATTTGCAGCCCTCCTGCCTCTACAAAGGACTGCTGTTGAGAGTCCATTGCACAGGACAACTGACAGACAGATGGTACAGTGGTACCTCGGCTCACGAATGCCTGTTCATGACCGAATTGGGTCATGAACAGAAATTTCATAAAAATTTTGCCGCAGGTTGCAAACTCTGCATCAGGTGACGACCGCGAGCACACCCTCCTCCCCTGCACGGGTGCGATCACGGTCATGCTGGAGGGGCGGGGGGACATGGCCGCGTTCGTGCTGGGGGGGAGATGGCCACAATTGTGCCTGTGTTCCCTGCCCGAGCACACCCGCCTCCCCCCCCAGCATGCCCACGATCGTGCCCATCTCTCCCCACTCCCCACACGATCACTGGGGAGGAAATGGCCTCGATCTTTGTTGTTCTTTGTCACTTTGCTTCAAATTTTTGTGAGTAAAAAAAATAGTTGCCGAATGGGTTAACCTTATTTACATTGACCCTTATGGGGAAATTTGATTTGGCTCACGACCAATTTGGGTCATGACCAGAGTTCTGGAACGGATTAAGTTTGTGAGCCAAGGTACCACTGTATTCTTGAACTCCCTCTCTCTTTCATGTTACCTTCTTTCTATCTATAAGGCTATTAGACAGAAGGCTCTTACCTCTTTAGAAATATAGAATAAGATTGGGATGCATTAGGAATATCTGCTGCCTAGACAACATTGGGTTAAGCGTTTGCACTATATTTCCTTCTGAAAGTGTGCATTACTGTCAGCAAAAAATCCTAGACCGCTGTATTCAGGAAAGTACCCCTTCTGAAGTGCATTGTTCCTAGAGACTACCTTAGTGTAACAGGAAAGCCTTGGCAGTTATAGGTGGCCTATAAATACGTGTTAAAATAAAATAAAATAAAATAAAATAAAATAAAATAAAATAAAATAAAATAGTGCTGCTCCTTGCTGTGTTTGTTCTGTAATTGCTGCAGGTCTCTCCCTCCCTCATTTCCTCTCCAGCAAACCTACATGAGTCTTCGGAAGACTTTAGAACCCTTCTGAGGAGGAGGCAGAGTTGGGCAGAGGATTTGGCAGTTCCAAGTTTTCCTAGCAGAACCAGCGCAACTGGGAAAAGGGGGAGTCATTTCAGAACTGTGGGGAGATATGATTGAAAGGGAGTGCCTTGACCCTCTCAGGAGAAGAGAGGTGACACAAGTGGACCAATTACAAGTGTCTAGTGTTCCTGTCATCTGACTCTCAATGAGCAGGAGCCACCCAGCAGGCAGAGTCATAAGATTTGTGAAAGGGAGGGAAGGAGTGGAGGCTTACGAAGTTACATCTGAGTCTGAGGGATGTACACACCTGTTCATGACATGACATGCCATACCATTTTAACCCATTTAGTGGTATTCTAAAATGTCAACATTGTAGAAATGCATTAAGAAATTTTATGGCAGTAAAGGGACTGCAGGTGGCGCAGTGGTTTAAACTGCTGTGCCGCTGGGCTGGTTGATCGAAAGGTTGCCAGTTTGAATCTGCACAACGGAGTTCCTATTGCTCCATCCCAGCTCCTGCCAACCTTGCAGTTTGAAAGCATGCAAATGCAAGTAGATAAAAAGGTACCACTTCGGTGGGCAGGTAACAGCGTTCCGTGCACTTCGGAGTTTAGTCACGCCGGCGACATGACCACGGAGACTGTCTGCAGACAAATGCTGGCTCCCTCAGCTAGGAAACGGAGATGAGCACTGCCGCCTAGAGTCAGGCATGACTGGACGTAACGTCAAGGGGAGACCTTTACCTTTACCTTTTAATGCCTCTGGCATGAATTGGCAGAACTCACATAAACATCCTAAGGTAGGTCTGAAACAGCCAACAGTAACATGTTTGTAAAGAACTCAAATACAGTGGGTTCAGTATATATGACTTGCAGAGAAAAGCAGGCTCTAAGGAAAGATTTGTAGAAAGGTTGAGGACCAGAAGCCAATAAATTCTGGAGACTAATGAATCTAAGGGGCAGAAAATGTGACACTGGGACACTGCTGAAGAAAGGGGACAGAAAAAATGCATAGGAACCTGTTGACACAATGTCCGAAGGACAAAGCAAAATGAATAAATCATCCCAAGCAAGAAGTACAAACCCAACAGGCAGTGAGGTTTAGAGTCCAAATTTCAAATATTAATATAAAACAACCAGATAACCTCTTCGGCTTCAGATTCTACCAATACATGAAGGATGTTTTTTAAAAAGGTCTGATGACTATCAGCCAGCTCTATCTGAGGGGTATCAAGCTTTTATCTTTTGTGCGTGGTGTTGTTATCATAAATATAAATGCAGCATTGTGAATATGGGTAATTTATATATTTAGAATGATTTTTAGCCTCCTTTAAAGGTGGAACCCTAATTTACCTTGCTTCATCAGGGTGAGTCACTCGTACAGAGTCATTTGGAATGTAGATCATACTTGTATCTTCTATTTTATATATTGCATGTCCTCCAATATCTGCCATCTTTCTCCTCTTTGTAATTAGCACAATGTAATAACCTTCTAAAAATCTGACAAAACCTGTAGGAAAAAGAATGCATTACTTCACTTCTCATTTGTATTTGTCACTTGATACAACCTATTACTAGAATGCTAAGACCAAATTCAATCCCTTTCAAGGTTTCCAATAATTATACAGCATTTTCCAAGCCCTTACAAAACTGGAGATGGAAAAACCTGTCATCTGTTAATTGATCTCCTTTAATTTTCAGTATTTTGTCAACGTTAACTGCAGTTCTTTTTAAATTGTATACTTATTCATTAATGAAGGCAAATTAAAAAGTGCTATTCAAAATGGCTGCTCACTTCAGGGATTTTGTCTTTATAAAAATATTTATTGGATTCTCAGTGCATACTTCATCACGTCAGTGCTGGGGTGAATTAAGGAAACTGAAAGAACCTCATATCAATGTCTGAAACAACAGTGTAACTTACTGTGCAGTGACTGATTATTTTTCTACATTTTGTCCTTATTAGCTTCCACTTGAAAAACTTTTCAACACTACAAGATAAAGAATCGCCCAGCAAAATAAGAAAATGTTACACTGAGACCTTCATACTGTTTATTGAAAACTATTTTTTCAACTTTCTGTAACATTTGACATGACACTTCAGATTAACTTTTCATTCCTTAAATTTTTTTAAGAATCACAGTCATCTAACTACTTGTCACCCAAAGTTTCTGGCATCCAGTCTGCTACTCTGGTACTGTGAAGAAGGATTTATTTATACTTGTCCACAATGAGTCATTCTGTATACGTCTATTGCATGTATATGCAGCCTCTAGAACCAACCACAAACCTGTGTCCTTTTTAGAATGTCCTTAACTTCAAAGGATTAGGTTGCACTTAACAATAGGGTTTTATTCAGTGGTACTTCACCAATTGTGGGATACTCTCCTTAGGACCCTACTTTGTTAGGGCAATATCCAATGTGACGAGTGTAAGGCAAGTTTATCCAACAGACCTTTCCCTCCTACTCCTCCCTTCCGTAAGCTTCTGAGGGTTGTGGTAAGGAGGAACCTAGTGAACATTGTGGGCTGAGTCTTACAGCTGCAAGGAGAGCAGGAAATTGCTGAAATGTTGAGCCTGAGCAGTATTACATTCTGCTACCCTGTTTCAGGTGTCATTTGAAATTCATACAGAGCAGCCTGTTACAATGGAGCATGCCCACATCAACAAATTGTGCTTAAACCAGGCCTCTTTGGGATGATCTATGTAGTAAATGGCTTTTGACCATTAGGACCAGCATGGAAAAGCATTTTTGAGCTGCCCCAACAGGACTCCTGAAATTTATGGAACAGTGCAAAGTCTGCAAAAATTCTGCCTCTCTAGGATGATCTTCTCACATTGCTCTGACTTTGGGCCACTCTTCCAGCAGGTTCCTCTACATATATTTTCTGTCCCCTTATTTCAAACAGCATTGCTTGAGTTTTCTTAATGGAACACTATAGGTTAATTTTGAGTTCAAATGTTCTTCACATAAATAGCAGCCATCAAATCTTAGGTGCTGCTGTATCCATGCAAATGCTTCAGATTACCAGTGTCCTTTAGTTTATGTTTGCAGCCATGGTGGGAGGGTTTATTTGCTGCTGTTGTCCCTCCATAAAATACTTTGGACTCCTACCATTAAGCCCAGTAAGAAAATAAGAGACATTCCTTACCTACTACACCAAAAGCAGAGACGGCACGTGATAATCCTGAGGAGCCTTTCTGCCCAATTTTTGTTCTGTTTCCCAAATCTAAGCGACCAAGCAGTTCTCTCACTTCTTGCTGGGTATATACATGCTTCAAAATGAAAGTGCAAAATTATCTAAACAAGTATTCCTTTAGAAACAGCATTCAGCAGCTGTAGGCTCTGACCTCTACAAAATGGACTGTCTTCATATCTTTTTGGAAAACTGATTATTCTATTACAGTTTTCCCCATCTTGCTCTGCTTTATAAGAGCATCAAGTGTGACCCAGGTGCTGTGAAATGTGTAGCACAAAACTGAGTTGTGTTCCAATGCAACACACACTCCAGTCTAAACTGATGTGCTTTCTTTACACACTTTAGATAAAAATCAAGAACACATACAGACTAGAATAAATTAAAAATAATTCTAACTACCATAGAGCAGGCTTACATGTTCTTATGGTTCATCCAAATAATACTGAAGCATCAACAACAGGAACATCTTTGCTCAATTAATTACTTACTACAATATTTCTATTCTACCTTTCAGCCAATAGGTCCTCAAGGTAGAGTAAAGCAGCAAATTGTAAAACAAGTTTATCAAAGTCTTAAAAGCAGAGCAACAAAGTACATGACACCAACAAATTGCTCATCAGCATTGACTATAGTTTTGAACAAAACAAAAAACACCATTACAGATTGCTGAAGGCAAGTCTGATCCTCCTAGGGAAGGAGTTCTATAGAGAAAGCTCCCCCACAGAAAAGGCCCTGTCCCATCCTCCCACCAAGCTAGCCTCACTGAAAGAATATAAAGAAGAGTCATGGTTGAAGATAATTAGTATAGGCAGGCTCATAAGGCAGGAGGCCATCTTCCAGCTATCCTGGCCCCAAGCTAGTTAGGTGTTTTTAAGTAAGACCAACCCCTAGAATTGGATCCAGAAATAAATGAGCAGCCTTTGTAATTGCTGTAAGACCAGTGTAACACTATTCATATGACACACATCAGACAACAGTCTGGCTGTAGTGTTTTGTACCAGCTGATCTTGCAACCCTGTTACCACTCTAGTGTTACAGTACATTAGATGGAATTCATGGATCCCACAGTTTCCAGTTTTATCTCAGCAGAAGCTGCTATAAGCTAAAAGGATGTTCACATAAAATTTTGCATTTCTTAGGGCACCATGGTTTGCATTTATCTTCTTTATTTCAAATGATTTTATGTTACCTTTAAAGGCAAACCTGGTCCCCTTAAATAGAATATCCAAAGGTTCCCTTTCTTCAATAGAAAGAGTTCTTCTGTAGGAGGATAGCCTTTTTGGTGGAGGAAAGGAACCTTTGAATAGAACCCTGCATGTTCTGAAATAATTCCCAGTTATTGCCAACCCACTTCTGCCAAAAAATATCTATTTATCTATTGTTCCTTAGCTTATCTATTCGACCTTAGCTCATAAAAGCAGGCATTCTGGAAAGAAAAAGTAAAAGAAAAAGTGCCATAAAGGCTTTAATTCTACTTGAATTCAATATACTCACCCTGTCATCGATAACAACTAAATCCTTTGGTTCCGTGCGATCAATTTTCAAAACACGGTATTTGGTTTCTGCATGATTACTCCCGACAAGAAAATACCGCTATTTTTTAAAGGAAAGCAAAGGAGGGAGGGAGGGAGAAAGAAATATTCCACAAAGTTAAAGAAAGCAAAGCATTCCATGATTACTTATTCAATCATGCTTAACACAACCATTGGAAAAATATGTGAGAGGTAAATATTAAACTGCATGTCACTAAGAATAAAGGAATTTTTAATAAATTTGTATGAAAATGGTACCCAACTCCAGTAAAATCGAATCACACTGATAGCAAAGATGTTGAAAATGTGGTTGGGGGGTGGGTACATATTTCCATATGTGGTGGGAATGTGGATATAATGAAATTTTGGAGAGAGGTTTTTAAAGAAAGCCAATACTGAAATACTGAAGTAAATACTGAAATTGCATTATTGTCGATATTTGATGAAGAACAATGCAGATGGGATATTTTAAAAATTAATACAAATTATTAACAGCTGCAAAATAGATTATAGCTAAGAATTGGAAAGTAAAACATGGTTACCAATTGGCCAGTTGGTACAGAGAAGTGTAGAATATAGTCATTAATGACAAATTAACTTACAATATTAAAAAGAAAAAGGCTATATAAATGAGAGTAATTTTGATGATATTTGTGAACTATTTATTGAGTTTGTGCTAATAAAGGGTAATGATTTGAACCTCCACAAGAGTCACTGTAGCTTTGAAAATGGGACAGGAGTTTCTTGACAGCGTAAATGAATTGCTGTGTATCTAAAGGTCCCAGGTATGATTTTAATTGCATTTTTTTTCCCTTTGGCTGTATTATGTTTCAGTTAATTTTTGTTTTGTAAAAATTTAGTTGTTTTTTTAAACCACCATTGACAGAGTTTTGTGAGACCTTAGTCTTAACACATTTATTATGGCCTACGCTTTCATTGGCTAAAATCTACTTCATCTAAGCCAGAAGTAACCATTCAATTTCAATTTATCATGCTGCATTTAAAGTATCCAAGGCATATTAAGGTTAGCAATTTTAGAGAGCCAGTGTGGTGGTTAGAGCTAGTCTGAGAATCTGAGCGATCTGGGTTCTAGTCCCCATTTGGGCCAATCACTCATTCTCAGCCCAACCCACCTCACAGGTTGTTATTGTGAGGGTAATATGGAGTGGAGGAGGCCCACATAAATCACCTTGGGTTCCTCCCAAGAGGAAAAATAAGGGATATTGATACAATGTAGTAGCAGTAGTAATAAATGTCTGGCTACACCAACAGGCAGTCCCCAAGTTAAACATCCAAATTATGAAAAACTTGTACTTACAAACAAACAGTCATACAGTCTATTAATTAAAAAAATAATGGCAGGAAATCATCATCACCATAAAGAGAGAGGAAGTGAAAGGGGCGAGAGGGAAGTTTTCCAAAGCATCACCACAGTGAGAGGAGAGGCCTTCCTACCCTGACTATCAGGAGAGGGAAATCTCTCCAGCATTTCCTTGCTGCAGAAAGAATGCACTGATGAGTTGGGGGCAGGTAGCTAGAGTTATTTGTTTTTCCACTTTCATGGGAGTCTTGCACCCCTAATCCCTGTGAATATGGAGGGCTGACTATAAATGATCCAACTTACATACAAATTTGGCTAAAATTTTAATTTCCATTTTCTCGGGAACAGAACTCATTTGTAATCTGGGGACTCCCTATATTCTTAAGAAGTTCAGACACATGTTCTGTTTATATGAATGGTATTGCTTTCTCCATTTTTGTCTCAACCAATAATTAAATAGGGGTGGCGTTATATATAGTAATTATTTGTTTATTTGTATAACTCAGACAGTAAGTATGGACTTGGTGACATACACAGCTAGTTCACACATAACAGTAATCCATCATCTATTAGGGCTCTAAGAGAAAGCAATCTAGCTGCCAACCAACCGTGTCTTCTTTGAATCTATTTTGGAAAACTATCTAGAAATGCCTACTCCTGGATTGTTCACCCTCAGCAACCCAAGGTTCCAAATTCACACATCACATTGAACCACCCAGGAATTCTAGCGAACCAAGACACACTGCGACATTCCAAGCATTCAGTTATCTCCTTACTTGCGCCTAAGGACGAACTGAAATTTCTGTCAGGGTGAAATCCTTTGTATGTTTAGGCAGAAGGAAGTCCCATGTTGGCTGGAGCATGCTAAGAGCTGTAGGATTTGTTTTTGTCTAAACAAGTGAAGGACTGCAGCCTTAATTGTTTAAAGTCTTTTATGACTGCAGTCCCTAAATATCTGAAACTAGATGACTTCAATGCTTAGCCAGATAATTCCTCTGATTTTTTCTGTGTTGATAAAATGACAAATCAATTTTGATTTACTGTAGCAAATCAAGAATGACATGGATTTATTTTAAAGACTCTTTCAGCCTCTGAATATCTCTGGAGGCATTCAAAAGGATGCCATCTGCAAACAAGATCATTAAAATAGATTTCTGGAGGTCAGGATTTGTCCTCATTGGCCTTGGTTCGAGGGGGTAGAATAGTTCAATGTTAGAGTACCTGCTTTGCATGCAGCAGAACCCAGGACCAATCCCTGGCATTTCCAGGAAGGGCTAGGGAAGAATCCTGCCTGGAACACTTAAGTGCTGATGTTGGTCAGTGACCTAGTTGCATAATCACAGCAGATCACTGTAACTGTTATGCAAGGGTTAAACAGCCTTTACATAACCCATCAATGGGCCATGGATTATACAAGGGTCACTGAACCCTCACTGCCTTCTTTAAGCCATTGTGGGCTTTGGTGCTACATATTTGAAAGCGGGCTACAACCTGCCACGTCCTGTTAACCTGAGGGATGTAGTTATGCACGGATTACGCAGCTCTCACAGAACCCATGGACTGTTGCTGGGTTACATGACAGTTTAAACTTCGTAAAACCCACCCTCTCCAAGTTTTTATGACACACTATGTGTGGGTGTTAAATGTTAAGATGGCCACCCACAAGCACTGGCATGCAGCAGAGCTCACTGCGGCATTAATAAGGTGTTTTTCAATTGTGCAAATTAGACTGTTTACTGAACTAGATGGACCAATGATCTGATCTGGTATAATGCAGCTTCCTATGATGCCATGATTGCAATCACAAACAGGAGAAGTGACAATGGATCTTCCTCCTTTGTCCTTGTATGCATGGAAAATTATGGAGCTAGTGCAATAACCCAAATTACCACCATGGATTCATAATTAATTTGATTAAATTCATGAAGTGATCTTCAAAGCCTTGATTGATTAACATCTGTTTCAGAAAGATCAATCAATCCTGGTTAATGCTTTGTACAGATCTAATGAAATTATGGGAGCAGCATTTTGGCTGGAGTTACTATGAAAGTTTATATTTATTACATGTCTGGAGTCAGCCCATTAGGGCTTCTATGCAATTTGTAATTCAGTCTATTCACCATAATAACTGGAACTATTTCAGAATCTTATTTTATCAGAACAATTGACCTGTCTGTGTCAGGATATCTGCTATTCTTACTGGACTTAGAAATTACTACTAACTAAGTGTTGCTAAGAGGACTGCATATCCTTCTCCACCTAACTTGAAAGTAAAATGTGTTTTCAAATGTGGAATAAGAACATTATTAAATATGTTATAGAATTTGCCTGTAGATTAATCTGTTCTTGTTTAATTTGCCAATCACATTTTTGATTTCTAGGTCTATTAACACTTGATTCAAGTAGTTTTTATGTTTGCTAGATGACTTTTATTGGAAGACAAATAATTTCTTTATATTAATTTCTAGTGGGCTGTCTGGTATAGTTTTTTATAAAAATGTAAACAAATTTTCATCTAAGCAATGGTGTGGCTCCTTTGTTATTCTGAAACCCCTGACGTAACCCTAAATGTAATTTCTGGATATTTTCATTTTTTATTTGCAAATTCATCAAATTGTCTCTACAATTAAATGGGAGAAACCTGGATTTTACCCATTTCTACACCTTATAATTTACATTTTTTCCAATTATGCTCGCAGAGCTGTATTGTCTGCTGTATTCTCATTTGTCTTCTCCCTCTAGCCATTCCTGTAGCAATTTATCACTATGCTCCTCCCTTTTGTAAGAGGCCTGATTTCACTGATAGAGCCCCCTCACCACTGCTTCCACAGTGTCCCAAACCAGTGACACAGCTTTGTCAAGTGATGTGACTGAGAAGAGCAGCATGGTCTACCCTTTAAATACCTGCAGGAACAGGATCAGATCTCTGCATACTTGGAACCACTAGAGACTGTGTGATAATGCAGCGCAGCCAGGTGCTCTGGAATGCTCTATAAAAGGCCTCCCTGTGCTACTCAGCTTTGCTACAGCAACATGGGTCTTTGTTGTGGCTGGTTTGTACTCCTGATCCTGCCACCAGTCTTTCCTTGCCTTTGACCGTGACTTAACTCCTGCCAGCTTTTAATCCTGTTTCTGCCTTTGCCACTGGTACTACCATGTTTTCTCAGTATCAGACCTTTGCCTGAATCACTGTTTCTGTCATACCATGTTTGACCCTTGACTCTTTCTGCCTCTGCCTTCACCACCAGAACAGTCAAGTCTTGTTGGGTATTTGACCCTTAAGTGTTCCTACCTCTGCCTTTGGCACTACTGCACCCCCCCCCCCACCGCAAGAGCCCTCTCTCTCCCATACCCACCTAGTCCTGCTGTTCTAGCCACAGACAACAGCATCCTATGTCTCAGACGTGACACTCACTTCAAATTGCGGTAGTGTCCAGGATACCTTTTAAGAAGTCAAATGTGCTCACAGGCCCCAAAAGGTTGCATAACTCTGCCTTAAAATATAAATTCTTGCAACTTTATCCGTAATTTGACATTAAGTGAGAGGTCCCCCACATGGCTCCCAGAGGCACCTCTCGTTGTGCCTAAGAAGGGCTCCCAACCCACAGGCACTTGAACATACATAAATTTGCATGAAATGCTCACAACTTTTTAGTAATTATACATAGGCTTCAGCAGTTTCCCCTTCCATTTGTTAATTTCCATGAATCAGATAAATAATTTAAAAGGACTTGTATGTC